GTGTCTGTCAGAAGTATTTAAAGTTTCTCTGATGCAGGTATTGCATATTTCCTGTTGAAGTTTACTCCTGGGTGTTTATCGTTTCAGTGGCTAGTACATGAGTGCTTCTGTTCCATCTTGTATTCTAACCGGTAGCTGTTTGTGGCTTCGCCTTTGTTCCACTTCAACAGTCTACTTACTTGGCAATACATTCATATTCTGAACTGACCTTGCCTGCTCCACGTAAGCACTCTCCAACTCAGTGTACCACTCTCCTGCCTTACTCACATTCCACCTCTTTCTGACCTCATCTAGATCTCCATCTCTTTGACTCTTCCTTGGCCTTCTAGTTTTAAGGCCTCTTCGGGCCTCATTCCACTTCCAGTCACTTCCTAGACTGTGTCAAATCACTTGAATAAACTCTCACACAGTTTCACAGTTCCCCCCAATTAGTCCCACCAATCTAACACCCTCAACCCCTGTCCTATAAACGCTTTCCAGTGCTAAGCATAACAGGAGCAAGGGCATACTCAGGCAAATCAGAAACCATGACTGTAAGGGGCAGTCTCACTGGAGCCTCTGTCGCTGCTCAGTGCCACCTCTGCTCGTCTTTGGTTAGCTTCCGCTGACTCGTGGAAACTTCAACAAATGCACCATGAGTCCCCTGCCTGCCTTGCCAATTCCCTTACACTCAACAGAGGACACTGCTTCCCAATTGGCCAAGAAAACAGAAATCGTCAGGTGCGAACTCCCACAAATCTTCCATTGATGAATTTACTGACATATATAGTCACCCTAATGTCCTTTCCTCTAATCCCACTCCCATCTCTTCTAGAACCTGCTCCATCTCTTGTAGCTTTTTTTTTTTTTTTTTGAGACAGAATCTTGCTCTGTCACCCAGGCTAGAGTACAGTGATGTGATCTTGGCTCACTGCAACCTCCACCTCCCAAGGTTCAAGCGATTCTCGTGCCTCAGCCTCCCAAGTAGTTGGAATTACAGTCATGAGCCGCCATGCCCAGCTAATTTTTGTATTTTTAGTACAGATGGGGTTTCACCATGTTGGCCAGGCTGGTCTCGAACTCCTGACCTCAAGTGATCTGTCCACCCTGACCTCCTGAAGTGCTAGGATTACAGGTGTGAGCCACCTTGCCCGGCCAAATCTATTTTTTACTTGCTCTCTCTACTGGTTTCTTCCCTTCAGCATTATAAACAAGTAAAATCGTTCCTGCTCAGAACAATTCTTCTTTTTTTCAGACAATGTCTCATTCTACTGCCCAGGCTAGAGTGCAGTGGTACCATTGTAACACACTGCAGCCTTGATCTCCTGGGCTCAAGTGATCCTCCCATCTCAGTCTCCTAAGTAGCTGAGACTACAGGCTCACACCTCCATACCCAGCTAACTTTTAAATTTTCTGTTGACATAGTGTCTCACTATTTTGCCCAGAATGGTCTTGAACTTTTGGGCTCAAGGGACCCTTCCAAGTCTCCCAAAGTGTAGGCATGAGCCACTGAGCCTGGCCTAGAACAATCCTGTTTTGACACTGCCTTTTATTCTGGCTGCTAATATCCTCTTTATTTCCCCTTCCCACTCCTCACTCTAGCTAGCTGCTGCTTCTTTTTTTATTTTTTTTTTCCTTTTGAGACAAAGTCTTACTCTGTCACCCAGGCTGGAGTGCAGTGGCACAATCCTGGCTCACTGCAACCTCCGCCTCTCAGGTTCAAGTGATTCTCCAGCCTCAGCCTCCCAAGTAGCTATGATTATAGGCAGCCACCTCCATGCCCGGCTGAGTTTTGCATTTTAGGTAGAGCTGGGGTTTCACCATGTTGGTGAACCCCAGAAGGCTGGTGTCAAACTCCTGACCTAAAGTGATCCACCTGCTTTCATCTCCCAAAGTGCTGGGATCACAGGCGTGAGGTGTGAGCCATGAGCCACTGTGCCCAGCCCTCACTCTAGTTGCTTATAAAAATATTACATCACGCCTGTAATCCCAGCACTACTTTGGGAGCCTGAGCCAGGCGGATCACAAGGTCAGGAGTATGAGATCAGCCTGACCAACACGATGAAACCCCGTCTCTACTAAAAATACAAAGATTAGTTGGGTTTGGTGGTGTGCACCTGTAATCCCAGCTACTCAGGAGGCTGAGGCAGGAGAATCACTTGAACCCTGGAGTCGGAGGTTGCAGTGAGCCGAGATTGTGCCATTGCACTCCAGCCTGGGTGACAGAGTAAGACTCAGCCTCTGGAAAAAAAAAAAAAAAAAAAAGAATATTACATGCTTGCTAGCTCTACTTTTTTCTTTTTAACCTCCCTCTGCTGTTCTCATCCCCCTGTCACTTCCTTTATTAATATAATTACCAATCTTCTTGCTGCTAAATCTCCTGGGTATTTTCCAGGTCTCAGCTTAGCTTAGAAAAGATTTTAGATAAATAAGGACCAGCAAATGTCAATAACAATGAGACACTGAGTACCCTAGCGGGTGCGCAGAATTAGGTAGCATAAGTTCTATCATTCTCTTAGCCTGCTGACAAACAGAAACGTCTTACTACGCCCTCTCAGGAGAAGCACTGATTATGCCTCACAGGATAATGAAGAAATGCAAGCAGTCTCCTTAGAGAAGACGGTTCGGCTGCCTGTCCTTGAGAACAGATGTGAAAAAAATCATTTGCTCAAGCTTATCTGTGAATCTGTGAACCAAGAGCCTTGGACATCCACATATAGATGCACAACGAAATTTGGAAGTTTTCTTTTCTTTTTTTTTCTGGAGACAGAGTCTTGCTCTGTTGCCCAGGTTGGAGTGCAATGGTGCAATCTGGCTCACTGCAACCTCTGCCTCCCAGATTGATGCGATTCTCCTGCTTCCATCTCCTGAGTAGTTGGAATTCCAGGAATGTGCCACCACGCCCATTTTTATATTTTTAGTAGAGATGGGGTTTCACCGTGTTGGCCAGCTAGTCTCGAACTCCTGACCTCAAGTGATTTGCCCAACTCGGCCTCCCAAAGTGCTGGGATTACAGGCATGAGCCACTGTGTCTGGCCAAAATATGGAAGTTTTCCTAAGTTAGAAATTATTTTTTCAAGTTGGTAATCTGTGGAGAGGACACAATAGGAGACAGCAGGGGTCCTACAGACGGAAGAATATGTGCCCGGGAAAAGGAATAGCTCTGCTCTCTGCTGTAGTTCCCTGCCCTGGAAATTTACCTGAAAAGGGGGTTTTCCAATTTGTTCCTTTAGTTTCCTATTCCCCAGGTTTGGAATGTTGTAGAAATAAGTCCCAGTGTTGTCAGAGCTTCTTGACAAAATGTCTTAATTACTAGCCTCTATTCATGAAATGTGAACACTGGTTAGGTCAAAATTCTGGTTCAGAGAGGCTGAGAGATCTGAGGCTGAAACAAGAACAAGGTTTTCTACCTAGGATCACCTAGAGCATTAAAAGCAAGAAGGATAGCCAAGTCAAAGTCAACTGGGAAAGGCTGAAGAGTTCGAATGACAGAAAACAAGTTTAAATGATGATGCCAAGTACCAGAGCAGAGTCAGAGTGGGATTCACAGAGATCGGGTAGGTTCACCTGGTGTCACGAACCAGAGTAGAAACTGTCTCACTCAGCATCCGGCATACAGTCAGCAGTCCACTCCGTGTTAAAACAGCCAGGCAGAACATTGTAGGTGGTATGCCAGCAATAGGAAGCTAAGGTGGTTGGGATTTTTTTTTTCCAAGAAATTCCACATTTAAGGGAATACTTCAAACAAAAGAGTATAAAGCCAACAGATCCGGGTTTTGAAATATTTAAGTAAAATGACAGCATAACACTAATAAACAAAAATACAATCTAAATCTAAATTCTTTTTTTATTTTTCAGATGGAGTCAAGCTCTGTTACGCAGCCTGGAGTGCAGTGGCATGATTTTGGCTCACTGCGACCTCTGCTCCCAGGTGTAAGCAATTCTGCCTCAGTCTCCTGAGAAGCTGGGCCTATAGGTCAATGCCACCATGGCTGGCTAATTTTTTGTATTTTTAGTAGAGACATGGTTTCACCATGTTGGCCAGGCTGGTCTCGAACTCCTGACCTTAAGTGATCATCCGCCTCGGCCTCCCAAAATGCTGGGATTACAGGTGTGAACCGCCGTGCCCAGCCATCACCTAAATGCTGACAGAATGTGGGTGCAATACTGGGACTAGAAATGGAGAAATGGGAAAATGATATAGAAGGGCTAGTTAAAAGCACTTTACTGCAGAGTGGAACAGCCAGTCCATTGGGGTACATATCTTTAGGAAAATAAGGAAGAAGAAAATGCATAAAAGGGGCAGGTGGAGACAGACAGAGAGGCTGGACGAGACAAGAATCGTGTGCATCACAAGCCAGGGTGGAAGAACGTTTTCAGAAGGAAAAGTCAACACAATCCTAACTGGCTTTGTAGCCACTGGATTCGACTGGAAGGAAATTAGTGGTAATCTCCAAGAAAACAACGTTAGTAGCATAGGTAGGAATTGGGGTTATATCACACAGGACAGCAACAAAATTAGAAATTAGGCTGTCAGTTGCAGACAAGTTTAAAGAGCTTGATGATAAAAGGAAAAAGAAAAGATGAAAAATAGATTTAAATGGCAGAAGATTTTTGATATGGAAAAGAAAGATTTTTTAAAAATTTCTTCTAGGATCATCTCTCATGGAAAAGAAAGATTTAAAGAATCCTGAGAGGGGATGTGTAAATCAAAAATACAAAGAAAATGCTATGTGGATATCTGCAATATTAAGGTATTTATGGGTGTTTAAATGGATACCTTCAAAATAACCTCGTTTTGTGTGCATTTTTTAAAACAATAAGTATATGTTATCTGTTCAATGAGAAAAAATTAAGACAGCCATTTCAACTTTGGAAAAATATCAAATACAAACTGATTTTTTTCAAAAGCCTGAGTATTCCTTAAATCCCACAGGGAGATTTCTGGAGCACTGCACTGAGTGGTTCAGAAGTGGCTGCTTTCTCTCGCTAAGCAGCAGTGCCCAAGAGCGTGCACTTACCTGGACAGGTGTCTAGCAGGCTGTCTCCTTCTATCACCCACTCTTCCTCTAGCTCCAACTGTGTGATTACCTCTGGCTTATAAAGCTGATGCCCTATTCACGGGAGAAACATACATCTTAGGAGTTTATACTGGGAACAAAATTCTCGTTCAGACACATTCCCAACCCTTTTAGTCTTTAGAGCCTCTGGAGGGGAGACTTCAGAGGCAACAAAATAAAGCTAACCATCTGAAACTCAATTAAGACGCTCCACTGGAGGAGAAACAGCAGAAAACAAAGGTCTCTGACTTCAACACTGATTAGCATTCTTCTGCCCTGGCCCAAACTGAATTCACAAAAGCTTTGGAGGCTTCCTCTACTTAAGGAAATAAAGCCATGTGAATGGTTTCCAGCTTCACAGGATGCCATCCTCACCCAGTGCGACCAGATTTCTGTAGTTCTCCAGCATCACATCTCGGTAGAGGTCCTTCTGGGCAGGGTACAGCTGGTCCCATTCCTCTCTGGTGAAGTCCACAGCCACATCCTGAAACGTCAGTGATTCCTGAAACATCAAGCACATCCCTGCTCAGGCAAAAACTGTTCTTACAGGGACCCTCAGGAGAGGGGGTAAAAGTGCAGCACCAGGATATCTACGCCATCGTGCTGACAGTCTTTAGGACTCTGAGTCATTTGGGTCAAACTTTTCTTTTAAAAAAAGTAGTTCCTTTCTATCATCTCTCAAGGCAAAAACATAAATGAAATAATTTCTGTGTTTAAATTTTTAGTTTGCTGCAGGGGGAAAATGACTCTCATTTCATCCAAATGATTAAAAAACAAGTATACCTCAGAGATACTGTGCGTTGAATTTCAGACAACACAATACACAATAATATTGCAATAAAGTGAGTCACATGAATTTGTTGGTTTCCCTATACCTATAAAAGTTAAATTTACTCTGTATTGTAGTCTATTAAGTGTGTAATGGCGATGTCTAAAGAAATGATGTAGGCCTGGCGCGGTGGCTCAAGCCTGTAATCCCAGTACTTTGGGAGGCTGAGGCGGGTGGATCACGAGGTCAAGAGATCGAGACCATCCAGGTCAACACGGTGAAACCCCGTCTCTACTAAAAGTACAAAAAGTTAGCTGGGCATGGTGGCGCATGCCTGTAATCCCAGCTACTCAGGAGGCTGAGGCAGGAGAATTGCCTAAACCCAGGAGGCGGAGGTTGCGGTGAGCTGAGATCGTGCCATTGCACTCCAGCCTGGGTAACATGAGGGAAAACCCCGCCGAAAAAAAAAAAAAAAAAAAGAAATGATGTGTTTACCTTAATTTAAAATACTCTATGGCTAAAAAATGGTAATGATCATCTGAGTCTTTAGCGAGTTGTAATCTTTTCACTGGGGGAGGGTCTTGCCTTGATGCTGATGGCTGCTGACTGATCCGGGTGGTGGTTGCTGAAGGATGGGGTAGCTGTGGCAACTTCTTAATATAAGACAACAATAAGGCCGGGTGCGGTGGCTCATGCCTGTAATCCCACACTTTGGGAGGCCGAGGTGGGTGGATCACTTGAGGTCAGGAGTTTGAGACCAGCCTGGCCAACATGGTGAAACCCCATCTCTATGAAAAATACAAAAAAATAGCCAGGCATTGTGGCCTGTGCCTGTAATCCCAGCTACTCAGGAGGCTGACGCAAGAGAGTTGCTTGAACCTGGAAGGTGGAGGTTACATTGAGCTGAGATCATGCTGGTGCACTCCAGCCTGGGCAACAGAGAAAGATTCTGTCTCAAAAAAAAAAAAAAAAAAAAGACAGCAATAAAGTTTGCTGTACTGACTCTTCCTTTTATAGAAGAGTTCTCTGTAGCATGTGATGCTGTTTTATAGCATTTTACCTGCAGAACTTATTTCAAAATTGGAGTCGGTCTTTGGTCTTTTCAAATCTTGCTGCTGCTTTATCTAATAAGTTTACGGAATATGCTAAATCCGTTGATGCCATTTCAGCAGTGTTCAAAGCATCTTCACCAGGAAATGATTCCATATCTAAAAACCACTTTTTTGGCTCATCCATAAGCAGCAATTCTGCACATCTGCAGGCTCCACCTCTAATTCAAGTTGTTCTGCTATTTCCACCATACCTGCAGTTTGTTTCTCCACGGAAGCCTTTTTTATTTTAGATGGAGTCTAGCTCTGTCACACAAGCTGGAATGCAGTGGCTCAATCTCAGCTCACTGCAACCTCCGCCTCCTGGGTCCAAGCGATTGTCCTGCCTCAGCCTCCCGAGTAGCTGGGATTACAGGCAAGCGCGACCATGCCTGGCTAATTTTTGTATTTTTAGTAGAGAAGGGGTTTCATCATGTTGGTCAGACTGGTCTCGAACTCCCGACCTCAGGCAATCTGCCTGCCTTGGCTTCCCAAAGTGCTGGGGTTACAGGCGAAAGCCATTGTGCCTGGTCCCTCCAAAGAAGTCTTGAAAGCCTCAGTCTCATGATGGTTGGAATCAACTTCTTCCAAACTCCTGTTAATGTTGATATTTAACCTTTTCTCCTGAACCACACATTTTTTTTTTTTTGAGACAGTTTTTGTCACATTGGCTGGAGTGCAATGGCACGATCTTGGCTCACTGCAACCTCTGCCTCCCAAGTTCAAGTCATTTTCCTGCCTCAGCCTCCTGAAGTAGCTGGGATTACAGGTGCCTGCCACACCCAGTTAAGTTTTTGGTATTTTTAATTGAGACAGGGTGTCACCATGTTGGCCAGGCTGGTCTTGAACTCCTGACCTTAGGTGATCCATCCACCTCGACCTCCCAAAGTGCTGAGATTACAGGCATCAGCCACCAAGCCCGGCCCACAAATGTTCTTAATGGCATCTAGAGTGGTTAAATTCTTTCCAGGAAGCTTTCAATTTACATTGCCCAGATCCATCAGAGGAATCACTATCTATGGCAGCTAGAGCCTGACAAAATGCATTTCTTAAATTTTGAAAGTCAAAATTACTCCTTGATCCATGGGCTGCAGAATGGATGTTGTGTTAGCAGACACGAGAACAGCATCAGTTTTCTTGTACATCTCCAGCAGAGCTCTTGGGTAACCAGGTGCATTGTCAATGAGCAGTAATTTTTAAAGGGATTTTTTTTTTTTTCCTCCTGAGCAGTGGTTCTCAACAGTGGGTTTAAAATATCCAGTAAACCATGCTTTAAACAGATGCACTGTCATGTAGGCTTTGTTGATCCATTTCTAGAGCACAGGCAAAGCAGACTTAGCATAATTCTTAAGGAACCCGGGATTTTTAGAACAGTATGAGCATTGGCTCCAGCTTAAAGCCCTTAACGGAAGAGTCAGTCTGTCTTTTGAAGCCATGCATTGACTTCTCCTTCTAGCTATTAAAGTCCTAGATTAGGCTGGGCATGCTGGCTCACGCCTGGAATCCCAGCACTTTCGGAGGCACAGGCAGGAAGATCACTTGAGGTCAGGAATTCCAGACCAGCCTGGCCAACAAGGTGGAACTCTGTCTCTACTAAGAAACAAAAATCAATCAATCAATCAAGTCCTAGATGGCATCTTCTTCCAACATAAGGCTATTTAATTCGCAATGAAAATCTGTTGTTTAGCACAGCCACCTTCATCAATGGTCCTGCCTAGGTCTTCTGGATAACGTGCTGCAGCTACACCAACACTTGATGCTTCACTTAGCACTTTCATGTTATGCAGGCAGCTTCTTTCCTTAAACCTCTTAGAGCTTCTAACTTTTCTTCTGCAGCTTCCTTACGTCTTTCAGCCTTCAGAGAATTGAGGGGTAGGGCTTTATTCTGGATTAGGCTTTGGCTTAAAGGAATGTTGTGGCTGGCTTTATCTTCTATCCAATCCATTAAAACTTTCTCTGTATCTACAACACAGCTGTTTTGTTTTCTTATCATTCGTGTGTTCACTGGAGTAGGAATTTCATTTTCTCCAATGGCTTTTCTTTCATACATGTGACTTGGCTGTTTGGCACAAGAGGCCAAGCTTTCAGCTTATTTCAGCATTCGACATGCTCTTCTCATTAATCTTAATCATTTTCAGCTTTTAAACAATGTTCAAAGCATTTTTACCAGGAGTAGATTCTATCTCAAGGAATTACTTTCTTTGCTCATCCATAAGCGGCAAAGGATTCCTGGTTCCTTTCAGTGAAGAATGCAACTCCTCCTTTCTCTTGAACACTCAGAGGCCATTTTAGGGTCATTATTTGCCCTACTTTCAATATTGTTGTGTCTCAGGAAATAGGAAATACCAGGAGGAGGGAGATGGGGGAACAGCCGGTTGGTGGAGCAGTCAGAACACACATTTATCAGTTAAGGTTGCTGTTTTACATGGGTGCAGTTCATGGCACCCCAAAACACAACAATAACATCAAAGATCACAAATTACAGGCCACCATAACAGATATAACAATAATTAAAACATTAGAAATATTACAAGAATTACTAAAGTGTGACACAGAGACATGACGTGAGCCACACGCTGTTGGAAAAATGCCAACGGGCTTTTCTTGAGGTAGTGTTGCCAAAACCCTCCAATTTGTTAAAAAAAAAAAAAATGTAGTATTTGCAAAGCACAGTAAAGTGAAGTGCAATAGGCTGGGCGAGGTGGCTCATGCTTGTAATCCTAGCATTTTGGGAGGCTGAGGCGGGTGGATCACCTGAGGTCAGTAGTTCGAGACCAGCCTGGCCAACATGGTAAAACACAAACTCTACGAAAAATACAAAAAGGTAGCCAAGTGTGGTGGCTCATGCCTGTAATCCTAGCTACTTGGGAGGCTGTGGAAGGAGAATCGCTTGAACCTAGGAGGCAGAGGTTGCACCACTGCACTCCAGCCTGGGCGACAGAACAAGACTCCGTCTCAAAAAAAAACAAAAAAGTTTCAGTACAATAAAATGAGATATGACAAATTCATTTCACAAATTAATTTAGGATGTGTTGGAATCATGAAAGTAGGTATCAAGTGGTTGAATCTTGTATAATTCCTTACCAGGTTTTCAAGCTTTGGATGCAAGAGAGAGGATATTCCAGTAGGTTTTTAAAAAATAAGCAACAAAGGCAAATAGGTTGGCAGTAGAAGGCACATAATGTATGCTAGGATCAGAGAATAAGCTGCCTTGCTTCACACAGGGATTCCAAATAAAAAAGGACAACCTCTAAATTTTCTCTATTGTCAATGCTTCTTAAACAGCCTCTTTGTCATAGGAGACACCGACATATATACCTCTCCCTCTTACCTTACTCCCTACCATGCCCCCAAAATACCACCACTTCATGGGTACAGTAACTCCTTAATTTTTCAGAATGAGTATGGTGTTCCAAATAAGTGCTTTTCCTGTAAGTTAAGCTTCAAGGCCGGGCATGGTAACTCACACCTGTAATCCCAGCACTTTGGAAGGCTGAGGTGGGTTTGATAATTTAACTTTCTAAAATGTATTTCAATTTAGTGACTTAGGCAATTTATAAAGCACTGAGACTTTAAGAAATGAGTTTATCCAAGGTCAAGCAGCTGGTGTTAATAAATTGCAACAGGATTTCATCTTAGCTTTTTTTTTTTTTTTTTTTTTTTGAGATGAAGTTTCACTCTTGTTGCCTGAGTTGATGGGCAATGGTGCAATCTTGGCTCACTGCAACCTTCGCGTCCTGGGTTCAAGTGATTCTCCTGCCTCAGCCTCTTGAGTAGCCGGGATTACAAGCAGGGCCTGCCACCACACCTGGATAATTTTTATATTTTTAGCAGAGATGGGGTTTCATCACGTTGGCCAGGCTGGTTTCGAACTCCTGACCTCAGGTGATCTGCCTGCCTTGGCCTCTGAAAGTGCTGCAATTACAGGTGTGAGCCACGGCACCCAGCCTAACTGACTTCTGTTTTGGGGTAAGTAATACATTAATATGGTATAGTAGCAAAAATATATGAAAAAGTATATAATAAGTCTCGCAGGCTTTTCCCCTCTCTGTCCAGCTCCTAGTCTCTACTAGATAATCAGTATTTTTAGCTTCCAGCATATTTTTTTCCAGAATTCTTTGTTACGCACATATGAAGATGCATTCTTATTTGCTCTCATTTATTTTTTCTCAAGGGTAACATATTTTATACAATGTAGTACTGACCCTGGCCTATATACTATGTTTTTTTAACTTAACAATTAATTCTGAAGCTCTTTCCTCTTTCCATGTCAGACCTATCAGGACATAGCTTCCTCACTACTGTTTTTTTTTTGAACAGTGTTTTACTCTGATGCCCAGGCATGGAGTGCAGCAGTGGTGCCATTATGGCTCACTGCAGCCTCAACCTCCCAGGCTCAAGCAGTCTCCCACCTCAGTCTCCCAAGTAACCAGGACTACAGGCACACACCACCAGCCAAGCTGATTTTTTTATTTTTATTATTTGTAGAGATGGCATCTTGTTATGTTGGCCAGGCTGGTCTTGAACTCCTGGGCTCCAGTGATCCTCCTGTCTTGGCCTCCCAAAAGTGTTCGGATTATAGGCATGAACCACTGTGTCCAGCCCACTATTGTTTTCAAATATTAAAAATTTTTGACATAATTTCAGACTTAAAATTTGCAAGAAAAATAAGTCTCCTCTCCCCTTTTCTCTAGGTAATTTTTTTAGACTGCTTAAGAGTAAGCTGCAGAAGTGATGCACCTTTAACTATGACTGGCATTTAGTTCCATTTTTTTTTTTAAGAGACAGGATCTCACTCTGTCATCCAGACTGGAGTGCAGTGGCGTAATGTCAGTCCACTGAAGTCTCAACCTTTCAGGCTCAAAGGACCCCCACCTCAGCCTTCTGAGTGGCTGGGACTACAGGCATGTGCCACCATGCTTTATTTCCTAAAAAAAAATAATTCTCTTATCAAAAGTAAGAAATTAACATTGATATGGTACTGTTGTCTAAAATATCTGCTTACTAAGATTTTACCAATTGCCCTAAAAATGTCCTTTATAACAAAAATACCCTCCAAGATCATATGCTGCATTTGGGTGTCTTGTACCTTTAGTCCTCTTTAATATCCAACAGTTCCTGATCCTTTCTTTGCATTTCAAAACACTGACAGTTTGAAAAGTACAGGCTAGTTATTTTGCAGAATAATCCTCAACTTGGGTTTGTCTGACGTTTCATGAACAGATTCACTTTTGGCAGAAACAGCACAGAATTAACAGATTTTTCTCAGTGAACTGTTATCAGGAGGCACACACTGCTGGTTAGTCCCATTACTGGCAATGCTAGCTTTGATAATCTAGTTATGGTACCTACCAATAATTTCCACTAGAAAATTACTATTTTAGGCCGGGCACGGTGGCTCAAGCCTGTAATCCCAGCACTGTGGGAGGCCGAGGCGGGTGGATCACGAGGTCAAGAGATCGAGACCATTCTGGTCAACATGGTGAAACCCTGTCTCTACTAAAAATACAAAAAATTAGCTGGGCATGGTGGCGTGTGCCTGTAATCCCAGCGACTCAGGAGGCTGGGGCAGAAGAATTGCCCGAACCCGGAAGGCGGAGGTTGCAGTGAGCCAAGATCGCGCCATTGCACTCCAGCCTGGGCAACAAGAGCGAAACTCCGTCTCAAAAAAAAAAAAAAAAGAAAATTACTATTTTATCCTTGTGGGGAAGTATTTTGAGGCCGTGTAAATATTTCATTTCTCTGCAAACTTTCAACTGCTGTTTTAGCATCCAATGATCATTCTTGCCTGCATTAATTACAAATGGTGCTTTTCTAATTCCACCATTCTTTATACATTATTAGTTGGCTTTCGACTGTGTGAAGAGGCTTCCTAATGATTTATTTATATTAGTGTGAATGTATGGATCCTTATTTTATGCAGTAAGTTTTAATGTTCAGATTGTCCTAGATTTAACCAGTAGGAGTCTCTTCAAAGTGATTTGTGTCCTTTTGACATGTCTCTCTCATTCTTTAAGCACTTCCTTACTTTTTGGGACAGAAAGATATTCTTTCAACGTTTATTTTGTGGTTTCCCTGCTTCAAGTCTGGAGTCAACAATTTCTCTAAGGATCCTTGGTTCCTTTCAATGAAGAATGCCATTTCAAAACCAAGATCTGGGCACTTGATCCATGTTACTGGAGTGCCACTGCTTTTAGGTCCTCTTAGTTGTATCTGCACGTGTGTGCATACGCATACACACAATGATGGATGTATACATGAACATGCACACATATATATGTATGTAAACACAAAACACACACACACACATATGTACACCTGTAGTTCTATATCCATTTCTGTATGTAGTTACATATATTAAAACCCATGAACTGGCTGGGCATGGTGGCTCATGCCTGTAATTCCAGCACTTTGGGAGGCTGACGTGGACAGATTGTTTGAGCCCAAGTGTTTGACAGCAGCCTGGGCAACATGGCAAAACCCCATCTCTACAAAAAAAAAAAGTAGCAGGGCATGGTGGTGCATGCCTGTAGGCCCAGCGACTTGGGAAGCTGACATAGGAGGATCACCTAAGCCCAGGAGGGTGACGCTGCAGTGAGATGTGACTGTGTCACTGCACTACAGCCCAGGTGACAGAGCAAGACCCTGTCTCAAACAAAAAAGCCAGGCATGGTGGCTCACACCTGTAATCCTAGCACTTGGGGAGGCCGAGGAGGGCGGAACACCTGAGGGTGGGAGTTTGAGACCAGCCTGACCAAAATGGAGAAACCCCACCTCTACTAAAAATACAAAAAATTAGCCGGGCCTGGTGGCACATGCCTACAATCCCAGCTTGCGAGGCTGAGGTAGGAGAGTTGCTTGAATGCAGGAGGCGAAAGTTGTGGTGAGCTGAGATCATGCCATTGCACTCCAGCCTGGGCAACGAGAGGGAAACTCCTCAAAACATCACCACCAACAGAAAACACAAACAAACCCAAAAAGCCCATGAGTTCACACGGATATCTCTAATTCTAATCCAACTCCGCAGGGTTCATTCTATCCTGTCTTCCCATATTTGTAATTCTCTTCTCTGACCATGAGAAAGCTGGCTACCATGATCTACAATGTATTCGCATATTTGTTGAGTCACAGGATGCAAAGAAAGTGGTTCTATACAAAAGCAGCCTATACATTAGAGTGCAGCATGTAAAGTTGTTTTGCTTTTAGCCTGAGGGCTAAAGTTCAAATACTTAGGTTCCAAGGGTACTTGGGTTAACTCCTTTTAGCTTTGGCCTCCTTCAGGGTGGTTCTATCAGTCACTTAAAATACAGTTAAGTTCATCTGTTTGTTTCCACCGAATTTTGGGCCCTTTCTCAATCTTTTTATTTTAATTTCTTACTGTATGTGAAACGTGAACATGGTTTCAAAAGTCAGGACTATACAAAAGGCATATTTAGTGAGGTCTCAAACTTCCCTACCTCCCCTTCCATTCCCTCCATTTTCTTCATCCCATTCCCATCCAAGCCCTACAGGTAACCGATCTCATTAGACTCAGGTTTATCCTTCCGGTGTCTTTTTGCTCAAATGAGCAGGTATGTGTATATGTATACTTTTATTTCCCTTTTTCCTTACACAAAAAGTAGCATATCATCTTTTGTGCTTTGCTTTTTTCACTGACAATTTATTGTTTTTTGTTTTTAGACAGTCTCGCTGTCGCCCAGGCTGGAGCGCAGTGGTGCAATCTTGGCTCACTGACCTCCTGGGCTCAGGCTGTTCTCCTGCCTCAGCCTCCCAAGTAGCCAAGACTACAGGTGCACATTGCCTTTTTTTTTTTTTTTTTTTTTTTTCCCCCCAGAGATGAGGTCTCACTATGTTGCCCAGGCTGGTCTTGAAATCCTGGGCTCAGGTTATCCTCCCCACTTGGCCTCCCAAAGTGCTAGAAATACAGGCATGAAACACCAAGCCTGGCCAACAGTTTATTCTGGAAATCCCTCCACTTCAGTGCACAGGTAGCTTCCTCATTCTTTTTTTTTTGAGCTGCCTCGTAACAGTTTGTGTAAAGGTGCCACCATTTATTTAACTAGTCTATTCACAGATATTTTGGCTGCTTCCTGCTCTTTTGCTATTACAAATAATGCTGCAGTGAATCTTATATCTGTATTATTTTGCAAATGTTGTAAGACTTTGTAGAATCAATTCCTCAAAATGCTGTGTCTGACAAAAGGCCGTATGCATCTCGAAGTTTGATACATATTATCAAAGCGACTTCTATAGGGGTGGTATCAACTTGCATTCTGTAATACTGATCTATCTCTGCATAACAAACTACCCCAAAATTTAGTGGCTCACAACAATCATTTATTTTGTTCACAAAAATGCTACATGGGCAGGACTCAGTGGGAACACCTCATTTTTGTTCCACATAGTTTCTGGTGGGGTGGCTAAACTTTGGCCTGTAGCATGGATGGCTCACTCATACGACTTGCAAATTGGTACTGCCCGTCAGCTTTGGGCTCAGCAAGGTCCTCAGTTTCTCCATGTGAACCTCTTCACAGGCTCTATGGGCTTCTCGTGGCACAGTGGCTGGATCCCAAGAGCAAAACTCCCCCAGAGAACCACCCTTGATGACTGAGTCTTGGAAGTCACACAACTTCACTTCCACCACATAAGCCTGCCCAGATCCAAGGGGAAGAAACAGATACCCTCGTCTCTTGATGGGAAGTGTATTTAATCCCATTAAAGAGAAGCCTGTTGGAAGGGAGAAATTGTACCATTTGGGAGAAATACAATCCGCCATAGTCTACCCTCTGGCTGTGAAAATTCACATCCTTCTCACATGCAAAATACACTCATATTCCCCAAAAACATCAAGTTTCATTCCATTATGGCAGTGGCTCAAAGTCCAAGATTGTTTCATCTAAACAGGTCTACACGTAGGTGAAGATCTTGGAGTGGTTTCTTTTTTCTTTCTTTTTTTTTTTTCTTTTTTGAGATGGAGTCTCATTCTGCTGCCCAGGATAGAGTGCAATGGCGCGATCTCAGCAACCTCTGCCTCCCAAATTCAAGCAATTCTCCTGCCTCAGCCTCCCAAGTAGTAGGGATTACAGGCACCTGCCACCATGCCTGGCTAATTTTTGTATTTTGGGTAGAGATGGGGGTTCACCATGTTGGCCAGACTGGCATCCAATTCCCGACCTTAGGTGATCCACCTGCCTCAGCCTCCCAAAGTGCTGAGATTACAGGCGTGGTGTGCAGTTTCTTGAATGGTTTCTCTCTTTCCGATGACCTGTGAACTGAAAAGTTATCTGGCCTCCCACCCCACACCTCACAAACATACACTGTGGAGAAGGCAAAGGAACAGCCACTAGGGACACTCTCACGCAAGTAAACAGCAGTTCGCAGCAATTCTAAAATGTAGCGGAGCTGGGCACAGGTGGCCAGTGTCTGAAATGGGGCTCAGGCCTACTTCTTGGGAGCTGTTCCTTGAGATTCTTGTCTCCACACACTGGGCTTTGGTTCTACTGAGTCATCTCTTTTCCATAAGGAGCCCGTGTTTGTAGCTGGGTGAGGTTTTCTCAGCCTGCTCACTGAGGTTTTAGGGTCCAAAAGCCTCTTTTCCTTTTACACTGTCTGTTCCTTCTCATTTAAGCTGATAAAATTGGACTATCGGCCGTGCGCAGTGGCTCATGCCTGTAACCCCAGCACTTTGGGAGGCTGAAGCGGGTGGATCACAAGGTCAGGAATTCGAGACTGCCCAATATGGTGAAACCCCATTTCTACTAAAAATGCAAAAATTAGCCAGGAGTGGTGGCATGCACCTATAATTCCAGCTACTCGGGAGACTGAAGCAGGAGAATCGCTTGAATCTGGGAGGCAGAGGTTGCAGTGAGCTGACATTGTGCCACTGTACTCCAGACTGGGCAACAGAGAGAGACTCTTTCTCAAAAAAAAAAAAAGTTGGACTTTCTGGCCAGGTCCAGTGGCTCATACATTTAATGCAGAGTGACTTGAGGTCAGGAGTTCGAGACCAGCCTGACCAACATGGAGACACCCCATCTCTAGTAAAAATACAAAATTAGCTGGGTACTGGTGGTGCATCCTGTAATCCTAGCTACTCGAGAGGCTGAGGCAAGAGAATCACTGGAACCCAGGAAGCAGTTTTCGGTGAGCTGAGATTGTGCCATTGCACTCCAGCCTTGGTGACAGAGCAAAACTCCATCTTAAAAAAAAAAAAGACAGAAAAAAAGAAAAGAAAGAAGAATTTCTGTCACGTACTAGGGGCTCAAAAAATATTTCCTGAATGAATGAATCATCTTCCTTCTGAACATCATAAATGGTTCCAGAAAATTAAGACTAACTCCTTGGGCTACAATGCGGAAAAGCAGACATGCCACCTTAGTTCTAGGTGTTTTTCCATTCCTGTCTTTGGGGAGTCTTACAGTTAATTAAGAATAAACTAAACGGGCCAGGTGTGGTGGCTTACGCCTGTAATCCCAGTACTTTGGGAGGCCGAGACAGGCAGATCCCTTGAGGTCAGGAGTTTAAGACCAGCCTGGCCAACATGGTGAAACCCTGTCTCTACTAAAAATAAAAAAAAAAAAAAAAATTAGCCAGGTGGTGAGCACTCAGGAGGCTAAGACAGGAGAATCGCTTGAACCCACGAGGTGGAGGTTGCAGTGAGCTAAGATTGCACCATGCACTCCAGCCTGGGTGATAGAGTAAGATTCCGTCCCAAAAAAAAAAAAGAATAAACCAAATGAATTTATCCCTTGAAACCGAAAGACCTCAACGCACTAAAATACCAAATAAAAGCTCAGCTCCAGCTGACAGTCTCCGCATTGTCCCTGCTCTTGCTCAAGTTTTATTTTCTGTCTGTAGTGGTCCCGTTTTCTCTTATCTCCAAACCCTACCTGTTGGTATGAGCACAAATTCCAACTATGCCTTTTTCACAAAGGCTTCCCTCACCCCTAGTCTCAGTCAGACTTATCCCTTCTCCCAGCACCTGTTGTATTTGCTGTCTTTTGCATTCACAGCAGCATCCAACAGTACACATTTTTTTTTTTTTTGAGACAGTCTTGCTCTGTCACCCAGGCTGGAGTGCAATGGCACAATCTCGGCTCATTGCAACCTCCGTCTCCCAGGTTCAAGCAATTCTCCTGCCTCAGCCTCCCGAGTAGCTGGGACTACAGGTGTGTGCTATTGCACCTGGCTAATTTTTGTATTTTCAGTAGAGATGGGGTTTCACTGTGTTAGCCAGGATGGTCTCAAACTCCTGGCCTTGTGATCCGCCCGCCTTGGCCCCCCAAAGTGCTGGATTACACGCCCAGAGTTTCTTTTTTTTTTTGAGACAGGAGTTTCGCTCTTGTTGCCCTGGCACCATCCTGGCTCACTGCAACTTCTGCTTCCTGGGTGCAAGTGATTCTCCTGCCTCAGCCTCCCAAGTAGCTGGGATTACAGGCATGTGCCCCCATGCTTGGCTAATTTTGTGTTTTTAGTAAAGATACGGTTTCTCCATGTTGGTCAGGCTGGTCTCAAACTCCTGACCTCAAACTCCCAAAGTGCTGGGATTACAGGCATGAGCCACCGTGCCCGGCCAATGCATTTTCAAATATTAGTTGTGTGATATGGGTTTTAAAAAGCCCCCAGGCTGCCTGTGGTGGCTCACACCTGCAATTCCAGCACTTTGGCAAGCAGAGGTGGCTTGAGACCAGGGGTTTGAGAACAGCTTGGGCAGCACAGTGAAACTTTGCCCCTACAAAAACAAACAAACAAAAATCCCCTTCAATGAGTTTATTGGCTACAAAAGGATAATGTTTATCACATGTAATTAGAATGACAGAAATCCTCCTATCGGAAGCAATTGAGACTGGTATCTGATGTGTCAAGCAAAAAGACGGTTAAACTAGAGATCCGTAAAAGAGATCTTAAATATTTTAACTTAAAACATAAATGTGCCTTCATTTTCTCATCTTTGGAAATGAAGCTAAGCCTTTTCTATGAGTGATTTTAAAGACTGAGTGCTCACACCTGTAATGCAACAGTTTCTGTTTCATGAAGCTGGAATAAGCAACTAACATTTGGGAAATAATACTCGTGGAGGAATCCTGAGATTCTAATAAGTTTTCTTCAGTGATTTAGTATTGTTCAGACCTAATTTGATAGCAATTATTTTTTCTTTTTCTTTTTTCCCACAGACCTTCCAGCCAGAGATGGCAATTTTTAAAAAGTGACAGCATTTATCAACTCTTTCTAAAGCATTTGACTAAACAACTCTCCTTGCACTCAAACTCATCGATGTATACAATGCTGAATCAGATTACAGAATCGTAACAGGCTTAAACCGGTTTTGGAAGAGATACAACAGATGCTTGAGAAACACTAATTTGTGATAGATGTTATCCTCAGGCATACTTAATAATCCCATTAGCTCCAAGCAGTGCTAGGGGCCTGGGCATCAGTCACTGTGTTCACAGACAGAATGTAAGCACCATTTAAATTCTAGTGAGCTATTTTAGGGTGATTACAAGACAATCCACTGTTCCATTGTTTTCTTCACAACATCCAGCATGGACAAGAATCCATGAAATTGAGTCTGGTGAAAATGCTGGAAGGAGAGAAGAGCTAGAAAGAGCTACAAAGGTAAATGGAAAACATACTGCAGAGAGTATATCATCTGTCACATGAATCTCCTGGGTTCTGGATTTTTGGGACTCAGAACTTTTGAGAAGTGAAAAAATAAAAAGAACTGTAATGGCATTTCAGAGGAGAGAAAAACTGAACTTACCTGGGACCTCACCATCTGTGAGCCATCATTCATTTCTTTCTCCTCCATGTTCTCTTCCGGAGAAAAAACAGCACTCTGAGAAGGCATAACTAGGAAAAGGAGAAGCACCTTGTTAATACATGATATGAAGGCTAAATTCAAATCCTGGAGCTTCTGCTTTGTGTAGACGTGGCAGACACTACAGAGAAGCCCTGTAAGACATAAGCTTAAAGGCTGTGCTGTTTCTATTCCTCTGTGACATTAGGGAATTCAATGCAGAACTGTCCTTCTTCTGTGGTGCAACTTCCCTTCTTGTGGCCTTGGTAAGCTCAGGGGTTTTCAGCCCTTGCTACATACTGGTGAAAATTTAAAAAGAAGCCAGTACTCAGCCCTGACACTCAGAGATTTGGATTTAATTGATCTGGGGTGGGTCTGAGCAACAGCATTTACAATTTTAAAGTTTCCAAGTGACTCTAAGTGTACATGAGAACTATTGGGATAAACTGATGGAGAGGACATTGGTGAGGGCCCATTCTTACTCTTTATCCTCACAAGAAATGAATTCACTCCAACACGTGCACTCCAGAGATCTGGCTCTCCTCTCCTCTAAGGCGATCCCTCTAATATACAAAGGAAACATCACTATTCTCATTTTTCTGAGTGTTTACCTTCCTTTGTGAGTCTCTGGATTTAGTCTTCCACTGGGATTACACCTTTTTGCAGTTCTGAGGTTGTAATGTCACCAAAGCTCTGTTTTCTTCTACATGACAGTCAGGAGATACACCAGCATCAGCAGCTTCAGGATCTGAGGCAGTTCCTGAAAGTTGATTTTCAGTGCCTTATGGGGAACAGCCACTCTCTGGTTCTAAAGGTGCCCCATCTCTGATGACAGCCTCAGGAGCCAGTGGATAGCCACAAGAATGATTTCTGCGCACTCTCAGAATCTTGCCTTGTTCATGCTGAGTTGAGATGTAGGGGGTCTCGAAGGTTGTTATTACCTTTTTTCTCTCTCTCTAAAAGCATCAATTCCTCATGTACACATTTCACTATGGTATTCAAATCTGCATCCTGGCAGGGATCTTGTAAGATAGAATTTCAGGTTGAAGACCTGTAATGAGATACACCAGGGTCAGCAGAAGAAATCCAGCAGTTTCAGCCACCTAGGGGTTTACATACAAACCATTCATACAGACAGAGCACAGTAAGCTGTGGCGTTCTTTAATCAAAAAGCACTCTTAGAATTTCTCAGATTCACACATTACAAAAGGCAGAGATGTGTACATGTGTCAATGACAACAAATTCAGCCTCAGTCCTTTCCTAAACTTTTACAGAACAGAGAACACATGCTCTTTGCCTAGAGAAAAAGTGATGGTTTTCTTTAGAAAGATGGAAAAACACGTGTTTCATCAACAGAGTAAGACTGTGTTGATTTCCTAATAATCATGAAGGAATACATTTTTTTTCTGTTCACAAAGGTTGACCTGGGAAATCTTTTAAAATGCGAGTGGGCCGCGCATGGTGGCTCACGCCTATAATCCCAGCACTTTGGGAGGCCGAGGCGGGTGGATCACGAGGTCAAGAGATCGAGACCATCCTGGCCAACATGCTGAAACCCCGTCTCTACTAAAAATACAAAAAATTAGCCGGGCATGGTGGTGCACGCCTGTAGTCCCAGCTACTCGGGAGGCTGAGGCAGGAGAATTGCTTGAGCCCAGGAGGTGGAGGTTGCAGTGAGCCGAGATCACGCCATTGCACTCCAGCCTGAGTTAACAAGAGCAAAACTCTGTCTCAAAAAAAAAAAAAAAAAATGCGAGTGATGGAAGTAAAGAAAGAAGCCATTTCTGAGGAGCAATTTTTTGAAAAAGAAAACTGCAGTTCCAGTGAAATGGCCCTGTGAGGTGAGGCAGCCTTTCACGGCCCAAGGCATGGCAACAATCTGACATTTCAAAACCCTTCACTAAAACCTTTCAGGAGTGAGTCGAAAGCACTTTAAGAACTAGGTTCTTCACTCCCCAGGCATAAGCTTGGGAGAAACCCCACAGTCAGGAGAAGCAGATAGGTTTTTCCCCAAGATGGGTGACTAGCGATGATAAAGCCAGTTCTCCCCAAAAAGAACCAAAGTTACAGGTAAATGACTGTGACCAGAGGGGAAGGCTGAGGGAAGAGTGCTGGAACCTGTCAGAGAACCCACAGGAAGAAGCTAGGGTGCAGTGGAGCTGGGTGTGGTGGCTCACACTTGAAATCCCAGTACTTTGGGAGGCTGAGATAGGCAGGTCATGAAGGCCAGGAATTTTGAGACCAGCCAGGGCAACATGATGAGGCCCTGTTTCTATAAAACACACAAAAATTAACTAGGTGTGATGGCTTGTGCCTGTAGTCCCAGCTACTTGGGGGGCTAAGGTGGAAAGATTGCTTGAGCCTGGGAGGTGGAGGTTGCAATGAACCAAAATCATGCCACTGCACTGAAGCCTGGGCAACAGGGCAAGACCCTGTCTCAAAAAACAAAAACCAAACCAAAAAGCCCTCAACAAACCGGGCATCAAAGGAACATACCTCAAAATAATAAAAGCCCCCAGCACTTTGGGAGGCCAAGGCGCGGGCAGATCATGAGGTCAGGAGATTGAGAACATCCTAGCCAATATGGTGAAACCCTGTCTTTACTAAACTAAAAAAAAAAAAAAAAATACCTGGGCATGGTGGCACACGCCTGTAATCCCAGCTACTCGCGAAGCTGAGGCAGGAGAATAGCCTGAACCCAGGAGGCAGAGATTGTAGTGAGCTGAGATCACACCTCTGCACAACAGCCTGGGAAACAGTGCGAGACTCCGCCTCAAAAAATAACAATGGTAAAATAAATAAAAGCCATATGTGACAAACCCACAGCCAACATCACACTGAATGGGGAAAAGTTGAAAGCACCCACCTAAGAACTAGAACAAGACAAGGATGCACACTCTCACCACTCCTATTCAACACAGTACCAGAAGTCCAGCCAGAGAAATCAGGCAAGAAAAAGAAATAAAGGGCATGCACACTGCAAAAGAGCAAGTCAAATGACCTCTGTTTGCTGATGACATAATCTTATACCTAGAAAACCCTAAAGATTTGATAAATGACTTCAGTAAAAGCTTCAAGATACAAATTGGTAGGCCGGGCGCGGTGGCTGAAGCCTGTAATCCTAGCACTTTGGGAGGCCGAGGCGGGTGGATCACAAGGTCAAGAGATCAAGACCATCCTGGTCAACATGGTGAAACCCCGTCTCTACTAAAACTACAAAAAATTAGCTGGGCATGGTGGCGCGTGCCTGTAGCCCCAGCTACTCAGGAGGCTGAGGCAGGAGAATTGGCTGAACCCAGGAGGCGGAGGTTGCGGTGAGTCGAGATCGCGCCATTGCACTCCAGCCTGGGTAACAAGAGCGAAACTCCATCTCAAAAAAAAAAAAAAAAAGATACAAATTGGTGTACAGTGGCTCACATCTATAATCCCAGCATTTTGGGAGGCTGAGGTGGGAGGATAGCTTGAGCCTAGGAGTTTCAAGACCAGCTTGGGCAACATAGTGACACCTTGTGTCTATTAAAAATAATATATATATATATATATATATACGTATACACATATACATAAATATGTACACACACACCCACACACACACACACACACCCCTAGGAACACATTTAACCAAAGATGTGAAATATTTCTACAAGGAGAATTACAAAACACTGATGAAAGACATAGTTGATGACATAAACAAATGAAAAAACCTCCTATGCTTACGGATTTGAAGAATCAATATCGTTAAAATGGCCATACTGTTCAAAGCAATCTACAGATTCAACACAATTCCTATCAAATTACCAATGTTATTTTTTCACAGAATTAGAAATAACAATCCTAAAATTCATAAGGAACCAAAAAAGAGTCTGAATAATCAAAGCAATCCTAAGCAAAAAAATTAAGTTGGAGGCATCATATTATGTAACTGCACATGATACGACAAGGCTAGTAAACAAAGTAGCATGGTACTGGTACAAAAACAGACACACAGATCAACTGAACAGAATACAAAATCAATCAATAAAGCCACATACCTACAGTCAACTGGTCTTTGACAAAGTTAACAAAAATATACATGGGGAAAAGACATCCTATTCAATAAATGATGCTGGAAAACTCGGATAGCCGCATGTAGAATGATACAGGACCCCTGTCTTTTTTTTTTTTTTTTTTTTTTTGAGACGGAGGTTCGCTCTTGTTACCCAGGCTGGAGTGCAATGGCGCGATCTCAGCTCACTGCAACCTCCAACTCCCTGCTTCAAGTGATTCTCCTGCCTCAGCCTCCAAAGTATCTGGGATTACAGGTATGTGCCACCATGCCCAGCTAATTTTTTGTATTTTAGTAGAGATGGGGTTTCACCATGTTGGCGAGGCTGGTCTCAACCTCCTGACTTCGTGATCCACCTGCCTTAGCCTCCCAAAATGCTGGGATTACAGGCGTGAGCCACCACGTTCAGCAGGGACCCCTATCTTTTACCATCTTTTTTTACAAAAATTAACTCAAGATGGATTAAATTAAAACCTAAGCATAAGACCTGAAATTGTAAGAAACCTGCAAGAAAACCTAGGAAAACCCTTTGTGGACATTGGCCCTGGCAAAGAATTTATGATTACCACCTCAAAAGCAAATTCAACAAAAGCAAAACAGAGAACCGGGGCTTAAACTAGAAAGCTTCTGTACCACAAAAAAAGTTTTCAACAGAGTAAACAGACATCCTACATGACAGGAGAAAATATTTGCAAATCATGCTATCTGACAAAGGACTAATATCTAGAATCTACAAGTAACTCAACAAGAAAAAAACCAAGTAACTCCATCAAAAAGTAAAGCATACAAGTGAGCAACAAACATGAAACCATGTTCAACATCACTTATCAACAGTGAAATGCAAATTCAAACCACAAGGCTATATAAGGCAATATCATAACATCAGTCAGAATGGCTACGATTAAATAGTCAAGGCCAGGTGCGTAGCTCATGCCTGTAATCCTAGCACTTTGGCAAGCCAAGGTGAGCAGATCATGAGGTCAGGAGTTCGAGACCAGACTGGCCAACATGGTGAAACCCCATCTCTACTAAAAAATACAAAAATTAGCTGGGCGTGGTGGCGGGTGCCTGTAATCCCAGCTACTTGGGAGGCTGAGGCAGTGAACTGCTCGAACCTGGGAGGTGGAGGTTGCAGTCAGGCACAATCATGCCACTGCATTCCAGCCTGGGCAACTGAGCGAGACTCTGTCTCAAAAAAACTAGCATGGTGATTTCTCAAAGAACTACCAATTGAGATTTCTCAATAGAATTACCATTAGACCCAGCAATCCCACTACTGGGTAACTATCCAAAGATAAATACATTATTATATAAAAAAAGACACCTGCACTTATGTGCTTATTATAGCACCATTCACAATAGCAAAGTCATGGAATCAACCTCAGTGTCCATCAATGGATGATTCGATAAATAAAATGTCATATATATACACTATGGAATACTAGGCAGCCATAAAAAAGAATGAAATCATGCCTTCTGCAGCAACATGGAGGCAGCTGGAGGCCGTCATCCTAAGTGAAATAACTCAGACATAAAATCAAAGACTGCACGTTCTCACTTGTAAATGGGAGCTAAACAACGGGTACATGTGGACATACAGAGGGGAACAACAGACACAGGGGACTCAAAAAGGAGGGAGGGTGGGACAGGGGTTAGGGGTGAAAGATTGCATACTAGGTGCAGTGTTCACTACTGGAGTGTGGGTACAGCAGAAACCCAGACCTCATCACTATGCAACATGTCTATGTAACAAACCTGCACATGGAATACTATGCAGCCATGAAAAAGAATGAAATCAGAGCTGCTGCAGAAACATGAATGAACTGATTTCAGAGTGAAGCCCGTTAATGAATACAGGACAAAGAAAGTATCTGCAGTTTCTACAGCCTAATATTTAAATACATGAAAGGCAGGCACAATTGGAAGGCAGTGAACCTAAACATTTAAAAATTAAAAATCTCAGGCTGGCTGTGGTGGCTCACACCTATAATCCCAGTACTTTCGG